CTGAATGGAAGAGTGCTATAAGCCCGCTGATCGGGTTAACGCTTGTGCTGTCTGTAATGATCTTCTGGGTAGTCTCTCTTTGCTAATAGCCGCTCAATTATCTAAGGTCATTTGCATTAACAAACTTTATTTTGTCCTACCCTTGATATGACGGCACAATGGTTGGGATCTCCTCTTTATGTATTGACGAGGATGATCGCCTTCTCCCATGGTCAGGTGGTCTTCTTAGCATTTCAGCGCATAGTATTATACTCTATGAAGGAACGGATCTGGTGAAAAAATATAGAACTCCCCGGGGGAACCCGTTTTCCGGACCCGGCGATTTTTGTTTGAGCTTAATGGTTGTTTATTTCTTTCAGTGATCGTTCAATTATAGCCTATAGATTCATTTTTGTTCCAGTCTTGGTAAGTTAATGTTGTAAAGTGTTTAATTTATTATGTGTGAGGTGTAATCATTATAGTTGTTTCGTTAATTACTTTTAGAGAAAGCGTTAGCTTATTCGTGCTTTCGGATGAGACACACAATTTGAATTTCGCATGTAACCTTTTTGTATTATCGTGCTTGTTGCTTTTCTACTGAAAAGCCAGCGCTTACTTGCTTTGTTTTCCCCTTTGTTCGTAATATGATTTAGTGAAGCGTTTAAAGTGCCACCCCTCTGCTTTTGTATTAGAAATCATTAATCTTTGTTACTTTTATAGCTTCTTATAAAGGTGTTATTATTTGTTTTGTGGTCATGTCTTCTTATTCTTGATTTGTTCTTTAATTCTGGATCTTTTTTCCACGTCCTTTTTTTTTAATTTTGGAGGATAATTGAGATTTTTTAATTTTTTGCCCTCAACACTTTTACTTTTTTTTCGCCGGTTTGTTCCCCACAAGCGTTTTTTGGAAGGGGGACGACCTTTCGTTTATTGTCCGTTTGTTGTCTAGGAAATTTTAATTCGTTTTATATCTTGTCACTTCGGGTTTTATAAGGAGTGCACACATTTTAATCTCCACGTTTCGAGTCTATTCTGATCCGTTCACATAACCGACACAAACCACTGGACCATGATCTGAAGAGTGGGTTCAATGGCATTCATCACTCGACTTTCTTTGTTTGAAATACAGAAAAATCTATCTGAGTGACTTATGACTTCCTTCGAAAAAGGTGGGTTGTATTCTTCTTGGTCTGGGTTTTACACGCAATTGGTCAACCAGTTTTTCCAAGCTTCATCCAGCCATATTTGCACATTGCTTTTTGGATGGATTATTTGATATTGTTCGGATGGAAATTTTATCTATGCATGTTATAAACGCAATTTAAAATTTGCCCCCTTAATATTATTATTCCTTTTTTTTTGATTCCCTGCAAAAGGTTTTTTTGGAGCCACCTCCTTTTTTAAAGAACCTGGCGGTTTTTTCGTCCTTTTCATTTTGGGTGCATAGATTTATTTCATAATTTTGTCAATTACAACTTTCTTCCAATGGAACTTGACTATGATCCAGCGACCATTTTTGTCTTGGAGAACTTTCTCTGGGACCAAACATAAGGATTTATGGCAGAAAATCGTTACTCCCCTTTTCTTATGATTTTCATATGATGCGCTAAATGCCTGCCCAACCCACCCCCTTTTTAACTTAGCATGTTCTTCCTCATTTAAATGGCTTTCTTGCAATAACCCTTTCGAGCAATCCAACCTTTTTAATTGTGTCAATATTTTTTTCCTCTTTATAGGGTGATTTAGTCCGTTTACATTGTAACTAACGCATTTCAGAGTGGTCATATTCTACTATGTGGTAAGAAGAAAGAAAAAGATAACACAATTCACCATTTCCCTCTCTCTTAACTGTCTTGGTACATTTACCACCGAAAATAATTCTCAGAATCACCTTGCCGTAGAACAGAGAACATATGAAACTCCAAAACCAACCGGTAATTTGGTAGAACTCTTCCAATAAGGCCGTGAGTTAACCTCATTAAAGAGGCATATGGTTAACAGTCCATGTATAACCCACCCCTGATGTAAACCTAGTCCGGGCAGGGAGACTAGACACCCTGGGAGGGGTACACAAAGTGTGTGAGCAGCAGTCCGCGCAATGTCTATATTCTGCTGCATTGAGTGCCCAAATCAGTCTTGGTAAATAAGAAATAAAATTAAAGAAAGGGGGGAAAAAGGAAAAATGTAAACAGAAAAGGTGAAATAAAATTTGAAAAACAAAGGGAAAAACCCCTACGTATCTTCTTGCCCGAAATCTTGATTTGATTTTGTCAAGCCTGTAAACATTTAGAGTTTAATATGCTTTTACTACACTCACATTACCTTGTCCATTTAATTTTTTATGCAAAGGGGGAAAATAAAAGATCTACTTTCTTATTATCAAACCTTTCAGTGTCAATCTACATCATTAATGATGGACCTGGTTTCTTTCGAAATCAGCGTCAGTCTCTCTTTCCCCTGTCTGCCTTGGATCAATCGTCTATTGCGTAGTAGCTCTCTCTCTTAGATGTCCCACTCATCCACATCTACTTCCGTTCCTGGTTCCTGCGGAATTAGTTGGGTCTCAGTCGTTTCCGTGATGATCTGCACCGTTCATGATGGTCCTGATTTCCTTGGGAGTCAGCATCAGCCCCTTCTTCCCCTGTCTATCCTGGGTCAGCCATCTGTCCCGTAGTAGCTCTCTCTCCAGGAGGTCCCGTTCATCCATGTCTACTTCCAATCCTAGCTCCTGCAGGGTTGGTTGAGCTTCACAAAGAGAGGGAAAAGTTTTGACCCCGGTGTCCAAAAATACCCTTAACTGTGCCGGGTAAGGTGCTTGAGCTCTAATGTTGCGTTCCCTGAGCCTTTTAATGACTTCACGCACTTGCTTTCTCTTTCTCAGGACATCCGGAGAGTAGTCTTGGTCAAAATAAACTTTCTTTCCCTGAAACTTCACGACTCGCTGGGTCCAGGCTTGTTAGAGCACCGTTTGTTTAACTTTAAAGTCACACTATTATTGACCACGGCGGCGCTGTCGGCTTCAGCGTTATGGCCCTGTGAGTCCTCTCCAGACAGATGTTCATATCTTCCTGCAGTTTCAGAGTTGATTTAAAGAGATTAGTTATGAACGGAATCATCTCTTTACCCTCTGCGTCTTCAGGTATTCCGTACACTCTGATGTTGTTCCTGTGGAGCCTGTTTTCCAGGTCATCTTGTCTGGCGGTTAGCTTTGCATCTTTACTTAGCAGGTAAGCTAGCGCTCTTTCTTGCCGCAGGCCCCGGTCCTCGGTGTTACTCACTCTGGTTTCAGTAGCGGTCAGCCTCTCCTCAAGTGTGTCTATCCGCTGCTTAATTTCAGCCATTGACGTCTCCATCCGTGTCTGGGATTCTTGAATTTGTCGCTGTGCCTCCCCGGACTCTTGTCTGAATTTTCGGAGCTCTTTTAGCATTAGCTGTTCAGCCTCAGACTCACTATTGGCTAACTTAGCATCGAATGTTAGCTGTTTTTGAGTCGTCTTCGGGTCTTCGTTTTTCCCGGTTCTGGAGTCCTTTTTGGTCTGTTTTTGGCTCGAGCTCATTTTCGTGGTCACTTTAAAATTATGAGTGGGATATGTTTGGGTTTCAGGCTATTTTAAACTGAAATCGGGCAGAGCGTTCTGTTTAGGCGTCTGACTCGGGCATGGCCGGAACCGGAAGTCCCCCACCAAAGATTTTCAATCACATTTAAATCTGGTGACTGAAGGCCACTCCAGGATGTTCCAGGATCTTGTTCTCAACCAAGCTTTGGTTGACTTGTAGGTGTGCTTGAGATCGTTGTCTTGTTGGATCACCAAGGTTTAATCTGTCAACAGAAGGCATCACGTTCCTCTTTAAAGTGGCCTGGTATTTCTGGGAATCCATGATGTACATGGAGGTACATGATCAAGATTGCAACATCATCAATCACCCACCTCCACGTTTGACCGTGGGGATGGTATTGTTCTGGTCATAAGCCTGGCCTTTCACCCGCCAGACATACCGCTGGTCCAAATGTCCAAACAGGTCCAGTTTGGTTTCATCAGTCCATAGAACTCCCAAAACTCTGTAGTCTTATCCAAATTCCTCCTGACATATTCTGGTCGACTTCTGATGTTCCTTGTGGTCAAGATTGCGTCTTGGAGTCAGGCCATGAACTACTTGTCCATTCAGTGCACGTCTTATAGTTAAGCACTGTACCAGCCTTCATCAGGTCTCCTGTTAAGGTGTCTCGCCAGTCAGCACAAGGGTTTCTCGTATTGTTTGTTCTGTGAACCGAAGTTGACTAAGGGTCACCTTGAGAAATGTTGGGCTTTCTTCCACAGCCAGGCAGGTTTGCAGCTGTTCCATAAGGTTTAAACTTCCTTATAATGCTCCCAATGGTGTCTCTTGGTCCTTCAGCTGTGATGAAATAATCTCCTCTCTCAGCTTTTGTGGAAGCTCCTTTGTCTTCCCATGATTGCAGCTTACCTTCAATACCTTCATGGGTAAAGGATCATTATAGAGTTCCCAAAGGCTTAATTATATTTCAGCTCCACTTTAGGCCATAAAAACTGTCAGACAGCTTTAAAAACAGCAACATTATACAGGGGTTGAATAATTGTGACAAATACTACATCATGCATTTTCGGTGTTGATTTCATGTTCATAAAGACGTCATCTGAAGCAGAATCTTGCTCTTTAATTTATAAATTCTTAAAATCTTTGGGGGGTTGAATATTTCTGATTGCAACTGTATATCAGGTTATTCTCACCCAGATTATTTGGTTCTTTAAAGCAGTTTGAGCTGTAACACTGCGCTCTTATTGTGAAATTAAGGCAAACCTCTGTGGCTGCAGTTCCTCTGACGGCCACTAGAGGCTGGCTCCACATTAA